ATTCCCCCCTCCGAGTCCTGGCCCAGGGCGTGGGTGGGAATCGCCCCGTTGTCACGGCAGGTCCCCACCGCGTCCCCACCGCGCCCGCCGCTCCCCCGTGGCGGGGGTGGCACTCCAGGGTCTGGGCTGCGGCAGCACCGAGGGAATCCCAGCGGACTCCGGCCGTGCCAGGAAAGCTGGGCTGGTGCCCCGCAGCCCCCTCCTCCCTCCGCTGGTCAGCAAAGTCCCCCCGGGGCGGGGTTAGGACGTGTCCTTCAGCTCGGGGCTGGGCGGCTGCGGAGGGGGCACCTCCGCCGAGGGCGACTGCATCTCCTGGGGGCTGCCTGCGGGGAGAGAGGAGGGGATGGAGTCGTGGGATAAAGTCAGAGAACAGGATCACAGAATAGAATCACAGGATCTTGAGGTTGGAAAAGCCCTCCCAGCCCATGGATCCCCCCTGTGCCCGATGCCCACCTTGTCCCCCAGCCCAGAGCACTGAATGCCACGGCCAGGCCTTCCTGGGACACCTCCAGGGGTGGGGACTCCAAACCTCCCTGGGCAGCCCCTGCCAATGCCTGATCATGCTTTCCATGGAGAAATTCCTGCTGATGTCCAACCTGAGCCTCCCCTGGCACAGCTGGAGGCCGTTCCCTCTCCTCCTGTCCCTTGTTCCCTGGGAGCAGAGCCCGACCCCCCCCGGCTCCCCCCTCCTGTCAGGGGGTTGCAGAGCCAGAAGGTCCCCCCTGAGCCTCCTTTTGTCCAGGCTGAGCCCCCCCAGCTCCCTCAGCTGCTCCTGCTGCTCCAGCCCCTTCCCAGCTCCGTTCCCTTCCCTGGACATGCTCCAGCCCCTCAGTGTCGTGAGGAGCCAGAACACCGGATGAGCACGGGAATCCCAGTTCCTGCCCGCCCAGTGTCACTCTCCATCCTCCTGCTCCTCCTCCTCCTCCTCCTCGTTGCCTACCTGCACTCAGGGACATCTCAGCCAGTTTGAGGGGCAGGTCAGCGGGGCTGACGCCGGCGGGCGAGCCCAGGATGTCGGGCAGGGCATTGCGCCGGCCCGTCCTCCCGGAGGATGCGAAGTCCAGCACAGGCTCCACCTCGGTCATGTTAACCCTGCAGAGAGATCACAGAATCACAGAATCACACAATCAGCCAGGTTGGAAAAGACCTCTGAGATCATCGAGTCCAACCTGTGACCCAACCCCACCTTGTCACCCAGCCCATGGCACTGATGCCACCTCCCGTCTGTCCTTCAACACCTCCAGGGACGGGGACTCCACCCCCTCCCTGGGCAGCCCATTCCAATGGCTGATCCCTCTCTCTGTGAAGAACTTCCCAATGTCCAACCTAGACCTCCCCTGGCACAGCCCAAGGCTGTGCCCTCCACAGAATCACAGAATCACCTGGGAGCCGAGCCCGACCCCCCCCAGCTCCCCCCTCCTGTCAGGGAGTTGCAGAGTCAGGAGGTCTCCCCTGAGCCTCCTCCTCTCCAGGCTGAGCCCCCCCAGCTCCCTCAGCCTCTCCTCACAGCACTTGTGCTCCAGTCCCTTCCCCAGCCTCCTTGCCCTTCTCTGGCCCTGCTCCAGCCTCTCCATGTCCTCCCTTCAGCCCCCTGAGCACGGAGAGTGAAAAGGACCTGGCTCTGATCCGGGCATGATGCTCTGCTGCCCCAGGGAGCAGGGCTGAGCCCCTGCACCCCCTCTGCCCCCACTGTGGGCCCCACAAGGCAAAGGCAGGGGCCACCCTGCCCACAGGACTCCCACATCCCCACCCTGGCACCTTTGGGTGCTCTGGTCTCTGCTGGTCACCCCACCATGGAGGAAGGGGGTCCCCGGGGGTCCCCAGCAGCCTTACCGGGCACCCTCCAGCCTGGCCTGGTGCCACGTGTCCCCTGTGCCCAGGGTCCTGCTCCACTCCCTGGCCTAGGGAGGGACCCCACGGGACACAGGGATTGCTCCTGGATGGGTCCCCTCTGGCACCAACCTGGGGGGGCAGAGCAGGGGGTCAGCAATGGGGCCACGGGGGGTGAAGGAGGGAGAGGGGAGTGACCTGGGGGTGGGACAGGTTGTGTCCCCATGGGGAGCACCCACAGCACCCAGCACCCTCTGCCCTGGGTGGTTACACCAAGGTGAGCTGTTGATGGTCAAGGATTCCTCGTCCCTGGTGGGAAGGCAGGAGGAGAGAAGGATGGATGGAGAGCAGGGATGGAGACATGGAGGTGGGACACGGAGGGAGGCTGAGAGGGCACTGCCAGAGGACAAGGACACAGTGTCCCCAGTGCAGTGACCCCACCGTGTCCCTCGGAGAACAGCCCTCATTGACCCAGGGTAGGCAGCAGCAATTCTGGGGTCCCCTGGGTGGGTGGGGGCTCTCCTGGGAAGCCCCTGGCATTGGGTAAATCCTGCTGGTGTGGAGCCACCCTGGTGCCCAGGCTGCTGGGATCACACTGGGATGTTTGCTCAGCTCTGGGAGACACTCCGGGCTTTTGCTGTGATGGGTGGGGGTGACACAGGGGTGGCACAGGACAGGGGTTCCTTCCGTCCTCCCCAGACCCCCTTCACCCACTCCTAGGGCACAGGGACCCCCAGACCATCCCCCCTCCAGGCCGGCTGCTGGTGGCAGTGCTGGCACTGCTGTCCCCACACTGGTGGTGGTGACAGCTCGTCCTGCTGTGGCTCCATGGACCCACCTGTGTCCCGCTGGGAATCACGGGGAGGACAAGCCCAGGTCCCCTCGGTGTCCTTGGGCTCAGGTGCCGAGGGAGTGGGACAGTGACCCGGCTGTGTGAGGGGAGGAATAAACCATTAACCCAGCAGGTAATTAAGTGATTAATCACTTGGAGGTGATTAATGCCAGGGTAGCTGTGTCACGTGGGGTAGGACCCTGCTTGGGGGGGACACCGAGGCACAGAGAGGGGCTGGGGGTGACAGGGGCAGGGCTGGTGGCCCTGGGAGAGGTGGCTATGCTGTGGCAAAGGCAGGATGTTCCCTGCACGCCTGCACCACCCACAGCCCCCTGGAGCCACATGTGTGTGCACTGGCACATGTGTGTGTTTGCGTGTACCACCCTGGCCTGGCTGCTGTGTGTGACTGTCCGTGTGTGTGCAGCTGCAGCTGTGCATGGGGGGCCCTCTGGCACATGTATGTGCATGTGTGGTGTCCCATGGCACATGTATGTGCATGTGTGGTGTCCCATGGCACATGTGTGTGGGTGCTGGGCACCCTCTGGCCCGTGTGTGTGCATGTGTGGTGCACTGTAATATGCGTATGAGACATGAGTGTGCGTTCATGGTGTCCCCTGGCACATGTATGTGCATGTGTGGTGTACTATCACACATGTATGAGACATGAGTGTGCGTTCATGGTGTCCCCTGGCAGACATATGTGCATGTGTGGCACCTTCTGGCACACACATGGCATGTGGGGTGTCCCATAGCACATGTATGTGCACGCTTGGCAAAACTGGCACCTGTATGTGCATGTGTGGTGCCCTGTAAGACATGTATGTACATACGTGGTGCATTGTAACACATGTATGTGCCTGCTTGGCACTCCCGAGACACGAGTGTGCGTGCATGGTGTCCCCAGGCACACGTATGTTCATGTGTGGTGCACTATAACACACGTATGAGACACGAGTGTGTGTGCATGGTGTCCCCTGGCACACATATGTGCATGTGTGGCACCTCCTGGTACATGTATGTGCATGCATGGTGTCCCCTGCCACACATATGTGCACGCTTGGCACTCCCTGGAACACATGTATATGCACGTGTGGTGTCCCTTGGCACACGTATGTACACATGTGGTGCATTGTAACACATGTGTGTGATTGCTCAGCATCCTCTGGCACACACGTGTGCACGTGTGTGAATGCATGACACATTACTGTGCTCGTGTGGCAGCCTCTGGCACATGTGCAGGCATGTAGCACATGTATGTGCGTGCTTGGCACCCTCTGGTACACACGTGTGCGCTTGGGTGGTGTCCCATGGCACATATATGTGTCTTCAGGCCTCCTGGCTGGAGGCCAGAGCAGATCAGTTAGGGTTCCTGAGAAGGTACGCAGGATATATGTACATGTGTGGTGTGTTGTAGCACACGTGTGTGATTGCTTGGCACCCTCTGGCACACGTGTGTGCTCATGTGGTGTCCCATGGCACATATATGTACGTGTGTGGTGCATTGTAGCACATGGGTGTGGTTGCTGCCCAGGGCAGTGCTGGACTCCCCAACCCCAGAGGGATTTAACACACGTGTGGATGTCACACCTGGGGACAGGGGGCAGGGGTGGCCTTGGCAGCACTGGGACTCACTGATCCTGGAGGGCTTTTCCAGTCTAAAGGATTCCCTGATTCCTTCTTCACACACACACATAAAGCCAAGTGTGCAGGCACACAGGGACACGCCTGGATACACACACACACGTGTGCACACACGTGCACGTACACACACACACACATGCGCACACACACACACACACACACACACCTGCACACACACACATGCGCACACACACACACACACACGTGCACACACACACACACACACACGTGCACACACACACACGTGCACACACAC